TGTGTGTGTATTTCATGAGTTTGCCCATTTCATGAGTTAACACTTTGTGGAGGGTTGCCGAAAAAGTTGTCAATGGGATGGTGCAATTACTTATTAATTATATATAATATTTGCTAAATGAAATTTAGTACTTGTTTCTTGCAAATTTTAGGGTACTGATTGCAAAAATAGTGACTGTTTTGCTCTAGCACTTCACACTTTCTTATAAAATATGGTGCATTTTATGTATCATATATCATCTCGTAATAACCAGAAAAAAGCTGCCATATGTTCCCCTGAGCCAGGTTACAACTATTTGCTCAATTCTGTTAAAGAAGAAAATGCAAAAATGACCCAGATCTTTACTGTATGTAAAGTTTTTCGTTATTTATTATTCATTATTATTCATTAAAAGGAATAACTGAATATATGCATGCACTCCTTTGCAAACTATGTTAAATTATACATTTTAAATACTACTTTTTGACATTTGACTGCTTTTGTTGTTTTGATAAGTTTATTAAAGCTGATACATAAAAAAAACTTCATATTTTTAATATGAAAGTTTTATTTATATTTTTGAACTCAGGATCATCAAATTTACTCATATTAGGCCTTTGATACAAATGAGAAATTGCTTGATGAAATAAAGCTTGTATAGGGAAGTAAATTCTGCTGCTTTTCTATCTTGTCCATCAGTTGGGTGTTGCCCAGAAGCATCAGGGGCAATGGAGGCTGTTGTCAAAGGTGTCGATGTGCATTTAGAAGCCATTTATGTCAGAGGTTGAATGAGATCCATTATAAGATGGTCATGTTGGAACACGCAACTAGATGATACCGAGCCACACTGCCTGTTTGGATGCGGCTTGCTCCGTTACAACTGTGGATGACTAATTAATGCCTCTTTGACAGGTGACACCATTTTATAAGTATCTGTTACTCTTCGGCCAATAGGCTGGCATAATGCATCTACAGTGACCAAGCAAAGATGGAATCCACCTCCATTATTAATTCATGTGGCTCAGGAGTAGTGTTTAAGTAGTGTGTCTCTCTGCACTCCTGCAGTGTTCCGCTGGCCCTGGGGCCATGCTTCAAAGACCCGGCTTGATTACAGCCTCAGGGGCCTTCGTCTCTCGGTAGACGGGTGGAGAAGAAGAACGGCGAAGGAATCCTTTTGAATTTTTATGACTTGGAAAGTGATTAAGAGGTTTTTAGTCCGTCTTCAGGATGGGAGATACATGACACCTATGAATGATGAGCTTGATCGGCAGATGATTGATTTTCCTTTATAAAATCCATCTGCGAAAGGCAGTTTGGAGGATCTTGTGTCTAATTCTCACTTCTGTTAATAGGTACAATTGATCTATAAGATTCGATGACCTTGAGGGTGAAGCAAAAGGACACGTAATTCCCGCTGAGCGTGAGATATAAATGACCTTGTTGCATTTTGATTGATGAGGAACATGTACCTGCGTTGGTGCTTTATCAGGGCAGAGCCGTTTGTCACACAGACAGCCGATTTAAGTTTACGTGGTGGTGCGTGATGAATGAAAAACCTCCTGCTGAAGGTACAGCCACGCATGTGTGCCAGAATAGCGTGTGGGGCAGAGTCCTTCAACTCCTTACCCTTTGCTTAGAGGCAGCTCTGAAGGACTCGAGCAATGGGAGGGACAGAATGAACAGCATTTACCCACAAATCCTTGCCTTTTGGGACATAAGCGGTCCCCTGATGTGAAGCCAATGGGAGTGCATTGTAAACACATGAGCTTTAATCTCCACTGACACATCGCTTCTGTAGGTCACTTTCATTGCTGATACTTACTGCGTGTAAACTTTTCAAGCCTCCAGAGACGTTTCTAGAAACTGGTTGACAGATTCGTGACAAGTCTTACAAGTAAGCTGGAAACTTACCAGGCTTATCTATATCCTCAGAAAAACCTGTCAAAATATAAACCTGCACAGCTCATAGTAATGAAAGGGGTTTCACTGCATATACCTTTTTTGGCATGGTGACAGTCCTTCAAGTGAAGTGAAAATGTTTAAACATTTGACAGGAAAAATTTAATTCTGATATATTAATAATATTTTATGGTATGTCATTCTGGTAATGCATATATTGCTGAAATATGTGACCCTGGACCACAAAAGGTCTTAAGGTGCATGGGTATATTTGTAGATGTAGCCAACAAGACATTGTATGGTTCAAAATTATCGATTTTTCTTTTATGCCAAAAGTAAAGATCATGTTCCATGAAGATATTTTGTATATTTCCTAGCATAAATATATTAAAACTTTTTTTTTGAGATGCCAGATTCTTCAAATAGTTGTATCTCAGCCAAATATTGTCCTATCCTAACAAACCATACATCAATGGAAAGCTTATTTACTCAGCTTTCAGATGTATAATGAATGTATAAATGTATAAAAAATTACCCTTATGACTGGTTTTGTGGTCCAGGGTCACATATAAAGATATGCTAATACTGCTGAAATATGTAGATATCAATAATTTATTGATATAAACTTCAATAAATTAAAATGTATGCAGCAAAAACAACATCAACAACAACAATAATAATAATAAATGATGATGATAATAATGAAATGCTTTGCAACATACTATTTTTACCTTTTTTTTTTTTTTTTTTTTTTTTTTGATGCGTGTACAAATATAAATTTGTGGATATCAATAATTTATTGACAAAATGAAATAAAATATATGCTGCAAATTATTTCCGTAAAATATTAATAATAATAAAAATAATAAAGCTTTGTCACATACATTGTTTTACTTTTTTATTTTTTTACTTTTTTTGATGTATGTATGTGTAAAGTTGTAGAAATTAATAATTTATTGACAGAAAATAAAAAAATGTATGCTGCAAATAATTTCTATATAATAATGATAGATAGATAGATAGATAGATAGATAGATAGATAGATAGATAGATAGATAGATAGATAGATAGATAGATAGATAGATAGATAGATAGATAGATTAAATTAAAATGTATGCAGCAAAAACAACATCAACAACAACAATAATAATAATAAATGATGATGATAATAATGAAATGCTTTGCAACATACTATTTTTTCCTTTTTTTTTTTTTTTGATGCGTGTACAAATATAAATTTGTGGATATCAATAATTTATTGACAAAATGAAATAAAATATATGCTGCAAATTATTTCCGTAAAATATTAATAATAATAAAAATAATAAAGCTTTGTCACATACATTGTTTTACTTTTTTATTTTTTTACTTTTTTTGATGTATGTATGTGTAAAGTTGTAGAAATTAATAATTTATTGACAGAAAATAAAAAAATGTATGCTGCAAATAATTTCTATATAAGATAGATAGATAGATAGATAGATAGATAGATAGATAGATAGATATCGATCGAATTGTAAGGGGTGGTTTATTCCTTTTGTAATCCGATTGAGAGGACAAGTAAACACTTGATCGGATTGAAAACCAAAACTGGAAAGTACTGCGCATGTGCAGTGACGTAGAAATAGCGTAATGACGTATGACACGCAGAACGAGCTATTTTTCCTGGTGAATATAGTGTCATAAATGAGTGTCCAGTCATTTTAAAACTCCCCTTTCACTCGGCGTCTGTGAAGTGGAGCAGGACAACGTCCCACCAGTCCTTGTTTAAGACTCTCATCAACAGACGACTGGTTTTGGGTGCAGGAAGGGGCACTTTTACTGCTTTATAAAGTAAGCAGCACTGCACAACAGTTCATGTGCTGGTCGTCGCCTAAATAGGACCCGAAGTAGATAAATATTACGTGTGCTTTTTAAAAAACAGTATGCAACAACAGCGTGAAACGCTAATATTCATGCAGTGTGCGCATGTCAAAAGAATAAATCCGCTCAGAAGATTGTGACATATAAACGCGCAACCCAATCACTTTATTTAGCGTTCATGTAAACACTACGTTCGGATTCATCAATCAGAATGAATTAATTCCGATGGAAGCAAAAGGTGTCCATGTAAACATACCTAGTGTTAGGGGTGGGAATCTCTAGGCACCTCACGATTCGATTACGATTCAGAGGGCTGCGATGCTATGATAAAATGATTATCGATGCATCTTTTGTTTTAATTCAGATTTTCTTTTTTCTCACTGTCTGACTATTAAAGCAGAGTATCTGGAATGACCCATAATGAATTTACTTCCAAGATTTTATTAATGAAACAAATGGAAGTGATTTGGCAAGTCAACAACAAGGTTACAAAGAACCAACGGGAAATGAAACATGTGCCTGTAGCAGCATACTTGTAGCAAATGAATACAGACTTAAGCATAATATGTAATATGGTTTCTCATATTTGTTGTGTTTCCACAATATTTTAGTTTGGCTTGACAACTTGCATATAGTGTGGCTCTTGTCCAGGGTCTTTCCCCCTCCAGCCAGAAGCCAAAGTGCTTCCATACGCTAGCTTTTAACGCAGATGGTGCCGGTCTGGTTTCACACGCCATCATCATGCATCTGTCACACCTTTACTGCAACCGTCTGCAGCCACTCTAGTCAATGCTTTTGTTTACACCATCCGTGCCGCAGCACGTTTCTGACGCACCGCCTGCAACTGCACAAAACACTTTCACTACGAGAGAAAGCGGCAGCTGCGCAGCGACACCCTTGTTTACATCAAGCCTGCGGGTCAATGTGACAGCTGTAATATTATAATCACAAGGTTTCTTATCTGTGTTGTGGTAATCACGCAGTGTAGACACAGCCTGATAGCAGACGTTCTGGTTGAGCTCAGGTGCTTGGCGTCTCACAGGTCCTCGCAGATGTCCCCGTGTGATTTCCTCATTCTCCGCCAGCCGAGAGGAAGCACCTTGAGTTAATGAGAAATAAAAGCCTCTGTTAATGCTTATCAGAGCAAGCAGAAGAGCCATCCAACCATAATCACCTCCTCCAGGCTCCACCATCCACCCACCAACTCTTTTGTGTGGGTCACGGATCAAAAACAAAAGACACTTTCCTCATTGGAAGAAAACTGATGTTTGCAATTGGACACCTACACCACACATTGGTAACAAAACCTGCAGGCTTTGCAATTACAATGCAGCCCTTTAGAAGTCTCTGAAAGTGACGTTAAGAGATATACTTCTAAGTGAAACTCTCAGTACTGCAAAACAGTGCAGGGTGAATCTTAGACTCTTAAAAATAAAGGGTTCAAAAGGGGGTTTTCACCAGTTTTGGTTCCCCAAAGAACCTTTCAGTGAACTGTTCTTCAAATGACAATTTTTTGTCTTAGTGTGAAGAACATTTTAATAATCTAATAGAAACTTTCCAGAAACTTGTGTGAAATGAAAAAGTTCCATGGATGGTAGAGGTTTTTTGTGGGACCATTGATGCCAATAAATAACCTTTATTTTACGTTTTAAAAGAATAAAAATTAAATACAAAGTACATATATTTATTTTTGTATGCAACCTGGCAAGCAAATATTGAGTCTAATATCGAGTCGCATGTTATGGAAACCCGTTTCCACCACAGATAAAAAAAAAAAGGTAAATTTTTATCTCACAATTCGACTTTTCTTCTCAGAATTGCCAGATTATATAAGTTGAGAGATACAAACTCAGAATTGCCAGGAAAAGTGTGAGACAAACTGCGAGACAAAAATTCACAATTACCTTTTTTTATTTATTTTTTATTCCAGGGTGGAAACCAGCTCCCACAATATTTCAACATAATATTAAAGAAAAAATAAATTATATTTTGCATAAAGTAAATTAAACCTATTTTTAAGGCCATTTTGCACTGTGACATTATTTTCATGACAATTAGTTTTTCTCCTCAAACTCTACCTTATCGTAATATCACACCTAAATGAAATCTTAAGATTACATGAGGTGGCAGATTAGTCACCAATTCCCCAAAACATAAAATAGTTAAAAAAAACTGCTACAAGATTGTGTTGCTGTAAACAAATGAATAATTCAACAATCTGAACCGAATTCACTACTCGTTTTCATTCACTCTACTGAACTGAATTAGTGACCTAATGTAGGGAATAGTGAATGAGGGGATAGGGGGCGATTTCGGACACAGCCCTAGTTTTCCTGTGTTCCCTGATTAGTTCATTAGTTTCCACCCGTGTTGATTAATCTCATTAGTTCCCTGTTTGGATTCTTTTAATGTGTTGCATGAGTGACGTTTGATAATGCACTGGTTTGGTTAAGTGCTCTTATCTGACAATTAAATGAGTCACTCTGGGGTGGATGTTGGAAATTTGCGGAAATGTGTGGTCAGGTTTAATGCAGAGAGTTTGTGGAGAGATTAGGTTGATCTGAAGTGAGCATAATGGAAAATGAGCTATCAGAGGAGCTCACCAAACAGAGCACACTGTTACTACTGATCCAGCAAACAGAAAGCAGGGGTCCGTTTCAGAAAGAGTATGTTAACCCTGAAATGAGGGAAACTCCAGGGTTTTCAATTTCAGAATGGGAGGTTTGTCAAACCCGAGAAAGCAGGGTAAGTCAAGCCCGTTTCTGAGAGAGAGGTAACTTACTCTATGAACCTATCCTGGTCGGGAGCAGGTTTTCTTCGGTAAACCCAGAGTTTATTTTGGTCTCCTCCCCCTTTTTAAAGCGTAAGCTGTGTTTAAATACCTCATTAATTCATTCACGCTGCAAAAATGTTTTTCTTACTGAGTATTATTGTCTTATTTCAAGTACAAATATCTCATTCTTAAGTTAAGATGCATTTTTTATAGATGAAAAATGAATCTTGGGGGAAACAAGTGCATTTTATGTAAAACATGTAAAGTTGTCCGCCATAGGGTAAGAAAAAGAATATTAATGTAAACAGGAACAATAATTTTTAATTTTTTTTATCCCATTGGCAGATAATTTGCAAAATAAGAAAAATGCACTTAAATTAATCCCCCCCCCCCCCCCCCCCCCCCTGGGAAAAAAAATTAAACCCCTTGAATTTTTTACCTTGAATTTTTTTTTTTTATGTAGAAAATGCTTCTTGATTTAAGAATCTTCAAATATTTTGACTGGAAACAAGACAACAAAATTGTAAGTAAGAAAAGTTTATTTATCAAATTTTTTGCAGTGCAGGTATTTATTCATTGCGCATATTTTCATCATGCAGACACCGTCAAAGTGACAAACATGGCATCTCCTTTAATACAGGATACTGTAGATGAGGAGGCTGCATAAATTAGTAGGGGGGGGTTTTTCTCCAATATTCACATGCAGAAAATGTGCATTTTTACCATTTTAAACGGTAGTTTTCTATAAAACATCAGAGATGCAAAACACATTAGTAAGGCCACTGAATGCAGACCGATAATAAAAGCTGTATGGAAAAAACTATGGAATGGAAGGATGCCACATGGAGGGGTAGTATGACGACATATATGCCGTAGCCACCACCACAGCTGCTAAATAAACACAAATTATTCACAATTAATTTGGTCATCTTTATGTCCTACAAATAGGCCTACAAAAGCAAGTTATTTGTTTTTTTTTACTTTTGGATTTTAAAATTATTCCAGTACATGACCATCTCCTCTACATCTGTCAGTGGTGCTGGTGCAGGCTCTTCTTGCTGTCGACTGGTGACAAGTCAGTTGTTAATTTCATAACTCTAATTAAGAAATGTAGGCCTAACAGGTTGGATTAGAGAATATTTAATTATGTGAAAAGAGCATTAGAATATGTGGAAAAAGAAAATAGACACTGAATGATATTTAATGTCAAATGTTTGTAAAGTCATGTAGCCTATACACCCACGAACATTTTATGCTTAAAGCTTTACCTTGATTGAATTGTGTTTTTATACTTCATTTTTAGCTGCTGCCATGTTCTTTTTTTGCCATGGAATACCATTAAAATTAATATTCAATAATTTACAGTTTTCACCTCTGATATTATAACAGTGATTAAGAATTAAATTTACGCATTGACTCAGAATTATGCAGACGTCTTTTTGTCTGTTCTGTTGCCATAGTGAATCGTAATTTCGGAGCTCCATTGATCATGGCCTTTCATAGTCATGATGCACGAGCTAAACTCATGAGTCAACATACTCAGAGTCGACTGAACGAACACAATTTAGCTGTTCTGAAACCGAAAACTCAGAGTTTCCCATCTCAGGGTAAGTAAACTCAGAGTTCAAGTTTAAACTCAGAGTTGGTTGAACATCCTTACTGAAACAGGCCCCTGGTCTCACGCTGCCAATGCACACACTTTAAAGTAATGGGCATAGAACAAACACACGGCTGAGTGACGCAGAAATAATGCTCTTTACAAACAATGCGCATGTGGTGCAAACTCACACACACAAACAATGAAAAAAAGAAAGAAAATGGAAAAAACTACAAATTTCCTTTGACATTCTTAAGGACTGCTTATCCTCTTACCAGAGAGCAGTAAAGACTGCTAAATCCTCTTATTTCTCTGATCTAATTTATAAGCATCATCAGACTCCTAAAGTTCTTTTCAATGTTATAAACTCTGTGTTGACTCCACCTGTTAGCATTATCCAACATCCTACCAATACACTCGGTGACGATTTTCTGCGATACTTTGGTGAAAAAGTCTCTAATCTGAGGGCTCAGATTCAAGACACTGACTATGAAACTCAAACAAGCAGGATATCTGTGACTACCTGGACTACCTTCAATCTGGTTTCTCTTCAATCAGTGAAGGACATAATTGTTAAATTGAAACCTTCCTCTTCTCCATGTGATATAATACACCCTCGCTATGAGACAAATACCGGTAATTGACACAGTGGGACCAGAGCTTGTGTCATTGTTGAATTAATGTTTGTCATCTGGATTTATACCAGAAAGTCTGAAAATGGCCACAGTCTCTCTTATCCTAAAAAAACCTTCACTTGACACTACTGTTTTATCCAATTTTCGGCCAATATCTGTATTACCGTTTATTTCTAAGGTGATGGAAAAAATTGTGTGTTTACAGCTTCAGTCCGTTTAAACAAATAATCAGATTTATGAGACATTCCAGTCTGGGTTCAAATCTTTGCACAGTACTGAAACAGCTCTTATAAAAGTTCTTAATGACGTTTTAATGGCTACAGATTCTGGAGATTCCGTCATTTTAGAAATGCTGGACCTATCTTCAGCTTTTGATACTGTTGATCACGAGATTCTTATCTCTCAATTAGAATATTTTGTAGGCCTGGGAGGTGCTGTTTTAAGTTGGTTTAAATCCTTTTTAACTAATAGAAGATTTAGGGTTAAAATAGGTAATTGTACTTCATCTCTGTGTCTTTCAACATGTGGTGTTCCTCAGGGCTCGATTTTAACTCCTACTCTTTTTCTCTATATTTTCCTCTGGGTTCTGTGTTTAGAAAGCATAGAGTTTCTTTTCATTGTTATGCCGATGATATGCAAATATATTTACCAGTTACTAGGAAAAAAGAAAGTGCTGTAAATACTTTATCTGCTTGTCTTGATGATGTTAAAATAAAAATTTTATTTTCTTAAACACCGATAAAACGGAGGTCATAATTTTGAACTCCTCAGGCCCCAGGCATCAAAATCAATTTGATCTTAAGCACCGAAATTAATTTACTTCCCCTTCAGTGCCGAAATTTGGGTGTAGAGTTTGATAATTCTTTAAAATTCGATAAACATATCAGTTCTGTCATAGGCTCCAGCTTCTTCTACCTTTGGTCCCTTTCTAAAATTAAACCATTTCTTTCTGTAGTTTCCAAGACGATTACGATCTGAGGGTCAAAAACTTCTCTTCCAGATCCCTCGCACTCGTCTAAAGACGAGAGGAAATAGAGCCTTTGAAGTGGCTGGTCCTACTCTCTGGAACAACTTACCATCTCATATTAGAATGGCCTCCACTCTACCGGTGTTTAAATCTTGTCTAAAAACTCATCTTTTTACTTTGGCTTCTTAAATTTATGAATTTTTTTTCATTATAGTCATGTTATGTGTATTTGACATTATGCTATTAATATTTTACTTATTGTATTTGTACAGAGTGTACAGCACTTTGGTCGGCTTTTAGCTGTTTTTAAATGTGCTTTAGAAATAAACTTGAACTTGAACTTAAAAGTAAATCTCATGAAAACAAGTCCAGGTCATAAATTAGATTTTTTTTGCATTACAGTAATGAAAACTTTGTTGGAAATGTGTGAAAATGTTTTTTGTAAAGTCTCCCATGCTCACCAAAGCTGTATTTATTTAATAAAAAATAAAGTATAAATCGTAATTGTCACGTTTATGTTCTGTTTCGGTTTAGATTTCACTGTTTCTGTTCTTCCTGCCGATGACCTAGGCTGTGTCCGAAATCGCCCCCTATACCCTTAAATAGGGCACTTTTTGAGGGAACAGCCATTTTTTTTAATTAATTAATTAATTTAATGATTAATAAACAGCAAGCACAAACTATGCAAAAACGGCATTCGTTCCAGTGCATTCAGTGTCCGAATTCACTACTCGTTTTCATTCACTCTACTGAACTGAATTAGTGACCTAATGTAGGGAATAGTGAATGAGGGGATAGGGGGCGATTTCGGACACAGCCCTAGTTTTCCTGTGTTCCCTGATTAGTTCATTAGTTTCCACCCGTGTTGATTAATCTCATTAGTTCCCTTTGTTTGGTTCTTGCTTATACGCCCTCAGTTCTCCGTTGTGTTATCGTCGTCTCTTGGTTCCTGAGTTGTTTCCAGTCCTATTCCTTGTACACACTGCACGCTGACAGTAATGCTGTAAAATATTATTATAATTTAAAATAACTGTTTTCTATGTAATATACTTGAAATTTATTTTTATTATTAAATTAAATCGTTTAATTTATTCCTGTGATGGCAAAGCTGAATATTCTGCAGCCATTACTACAGTCTTTAGTGTCACATGATCCTTCAGAAATCATTCTAATATGCTGATATGGTGCTTTATTTTTATTAGTTTTTTTGCTTTTATGAAAAAATTTATACATTTTTCAGGATTCTGATTAAGTTTACAAAAACAGTATTTGTTTGAATATTTAATATTTATTATTTTGTAACATTATAAATGTCTTTACTGTCACTTTTGATCAATGTAATGTCTCCTTGCAAACTTTTGAATGGTATCACAATTTCTACTAAATTATTAAAAAGCAAAAACTGTTCTGAACATTGATAATAATTAGAAATATTTTTGAGCATCAAATCAGCATATTAAAATGATTTCTGAAGTCTCAGAAATCAGTAGCCATTACTCTAGTCTTCAGTGCCACATACACTGAAGACTAGAGTAATGGCTACTGAAAGTTCAGCTTTGCCATCACAGGAATAAATCAATAAAAAGCCGCCCAAATGTTCACGGAAAGAAAGAAGGCGTAACTTTTATTCTCGCTGTAATATTGTTTTTGCTGCCGCCATGTTGGGAACACGCAGTGTTTCGTTGTGAAAGCGAAACTACTTTGTTTGGTCTTCCAAAAGAGGACACAACTATAAATCAGTGCTTAAGTTGTATTTAACAACACTGTTCCAGAACAGTTCAACCCAAATATTCGGATGTGTGCAGCACATTTTATGGAGGACTGTTTCCTGATCCTGGGAGAGTAGACTACAATGCCGGCTGTTCTGACTCACAAACTGTAAGTAGGTTTTTATATTTAAAGAATTTGCCACTGACGATTCAAACGCGAGTTCTGAGCAGTGTAGAGTAGCGCTTGTTGTTTGTCATTTCTCCGATCACAAATGCAGACATGGTTTTATGTTTACGCAGCGCGATGCAACGCGGATAAAGACAGTATAAGTCATTATAATCCGTAATTATGCCCCACTGTATGCAACAAATGCCTCTTTTATAATGGGTTTTAATGTTTTTGTCTCGTCGCTCCGGCCGGACAGGGCATCACAATATGGTAAGGGGAGTAACATTTCCGTCACACACTTGAGGTATTCGGCCAATCACAACACACTGGATAGTTGGCCAATCAGAGCACACCTCGCTTTTCAGACCGATGAGCTTTGTAAAAATCGATGCGTTTCAGAAAGGCGGGGCATAGAGGAGAAACAATAATGTACAGTATGTGGAACCTTAAACCGCATAAACACATTTCATTACACCAAATACACAAAATAATGTTATTTTTAGCAACATCATATGACCCCTTTAAAATCTTTTTTTTTTTTTACTGTATTTATCAAATATATGCATCCTAGACATGTATGGGTTAAAGAGAGAGTAATATAAAAATGTAAATGCAATTTTTATTAATATAATATATATTATTTTTTCGGTGTGTGTGGGGTGGGTGGGTGTTCATATCTGTCAAAATTCACACATTTATTCACTGCTGTAAAGCATCTGTCTCTCTTACTTTCTGTCTTAGAACCTGTTACATGAGTGACAGACACTGTGACACTTTGCCAACTGTTACTCCAGACGGGCAGCCACAAGGATAAAGTAATATACCCGGCCAAGTTGCCCATTTGGAACATGATAGCTCATATCTGTTGCACACCTCAAACCGGCTTACCATAGGCTGACAAGTACAATTAGGCCACTTTGTCAGGTGCCCACTGAATAAAATAATCATGGTGCATCACTCGATAACAGCTATCACTTAGGCTATAGCCCTTCTGATGCATGCATTTTTGATTATTACGATGCTGCTTCTCAGTCTAGTGTTGATGTAGACATAGGGTGAAAATTGAAAGCAGAAGGTTAGATTTTAAAGTAAAGTAATCAGTAATACATTTCATGTGGCTAAAGGGTGGAGGATGGCTTACTGTAATGAAATCCCACAAAATTGAATTATCTCCAAGCGTTAAAAGCTACATGCTCCACTTGACTGGAGAAAATGACTGAATGCTGAGTGCTCTCGTTTGAACTTGAGTAACCTTTGGTGGAAAAGGACCTATCCTGTGACTACCATCCTGCTACAGGAGCCAGAAGCTTCAACTTTGTCACCAAAATGAACCCTACTTTTATGTCTCTTTGCACATTGAGTGTTTTTGGAGCTTATTACCGGTCTTTATTTGTTTGTCTGAAATTATTTTATCATTTCATAGGCAACACGGTGCCTGGAGATTTCCTCTCCACTATAAACAATAACCCACAGCAGTTGAAATTGTTCTCCAGAAATACTGTTCAGGGACCAGTTTTAGAATAGACAGTAAAAATTGCAATGGGTTGAAAAAGGTTACCTACCAACAGATTGTACCCCACAGACAGATAGGATGGAGTAACATTAGATCCTGTAGACAGCTGACATTCACAATATAGATTGCAGGGGCCACACTGTGAACAGACACAGCAAATCAAAGATGGCATCACAGAGCATACATGCTGAATTATCTTTTGGACACACAAAACTACAAAGAATTGATATTGTGCTTCTGTGTTAATATTTCATAATGAATTTTTTTCCCATTAGACCAACATTATCAAACTCTGTGATAATGTGAGCAGGGTTAATCCATCCATGTGCAAGGATTAGTAAACTGTATTCATAAATTAATAGTCTTAAGGATTGGTCACCGTAAATATTAAGCATTAAAAAAAATCACTTTTGATCCTGCAACAACATTGTTGTTGGCTGTGCACTTGCAGTACAATGGACAGACAAGAGGGTTTAAAAGCAATGACGCTTGTTTTTTTGTTTTGTACTTTCATTAATTTTTCAGTTTGTTATTTTAGATGTTATTTGGTCTGAATCCTCTTTCTAGGTGAAAGAATTCTTATGTAAGTCCTGTGGGTAGAGTTTGCTCAATGTCAGCAGTGCTTTTAATTGTGTCCTGTCCCGACCTGTCCCTTCCATGTTCATGTGGTCTTATTCTATCCATCACTAATAGTGTTTAGAGTTGAATTAGAATTGATGCGTCACATATCAGTACACTGAAAATAGCAGTCCCTTTACCAATGGGGTAAAGTCACGTGAGAGGAGGCAATTCTTCCATCGAGATATGATTGGATATGACTGGTTATGTTCGGCTGTGATTGGTTCATGCAATAAATCCTGCCTTTTGCATTCGCGAATCAGTCTGAATAAACAATATAATGACATTAATGGGAAGATTAAATAAAGTAAACAGCTCACGCACTTAGATATAACCACTATGTTACATCAAAATAAGACTTAAAATGGCCTGAAAACATGATCTGTGGGAGTTTTTAGTGAGTAATCGGTTTGGTTTAATTTAAAGTAAATCCGTGTCTGTGACCAATATTTACGGAGCTTTGATGACAGATGATCCAAAAAAGAAGTCAAAGTTAAAAGTCAACTATTAAAAAGAATAGCTGAACATAAGTTCACAAATAAAATATATTGCTTAAATTATTACTGCCTTGAGTTAATATTTTGGAATAAATGTAAAATGCTTAAAAACACTAATTTGTTCAGTGCCGATAGCCCTGTGGGCAATGTGCCGACATATAGCATTGTTGCGCTGCGGGCGTCCCGAGTTCGAATCCCGGCTTGTGGACTTTTCCCGATCCCACACCCTCTCTCTCCCCCACATCGTTTCCTGTCACTCACTACACTGTCATATCTAAAAATAAAAAAGTAGCCAAAAAAAAAACCTACCTTGATGAGATTATTTTCTCTTTCTGTAAGTAATGTTTAATTTATTTGATTGAAAAAATAAAACTTTCAGAACTTTGCCTCCTAATTTCAGAACACCATGCACCACACACCAGTGCTTTCTACATACAAAAACACATACTTTAAACGCATATTAGTACAGTAGTTTAACAATATCAGGCAACTATATTAGTTATACATTTCAATAAAAACTTTTACACAGTAGGCCGTAGCCTACAGTTAGATTTGGATATTTCTCAAATATTTTTGTTGGGTTCTTTGACTTTTAATTGAGTAAAATTGAGACAGTACCTATTTTTACACCCCTACTGAACAGTTTTACAGGCAGCATGCTTTATTCTCCCACAGATCGTGTACAGTCCAGTTTAAAGTTTCTAAAATGCTTTGAACACTGTTCACTGGCATGAGGTTCATTCAGTGTCCACTCTGTCCTAACTGCAAAACGACACGGCTCTTTGAATCTCTCTCTCACTGAGGGAAGTGGGCGAGGTTTTGCTCACTTCAGGGATGCTGCTAGACAGCACTAGGTCGCGTTTGTAGTGAAGGCGTCGTCAGGGGAGCTCCAGAAAGAGGAAATGCTGCCGGACTGAACGCTCACTCTCTGGCCACACAGACTGCTTTCCTTGATGGCTCAAACAGATTCCCGAAGCGAAGTGAATCCGAACTATGAAGAGAACGTATTCTGCAATTAAACCTTTGGAATAACATTCGCTTCAGATTAAAATGGAAATGAACAGAAAACAACTTCGTGTTTTATCTCTCACTTTAAAGCGTTATCATTTTAGCGTGGGGCTGATGTGTTTGTTTGTTTTGTCCGCTGAAGCTCATATATGTCACGATACCTACATGCGTTATGACGGATTGGTGAGCTGTGAAGAGATCATGCTACCTCTCGAAGTGCCCAGAAGCACCCAAAAATTAACTTTATACAGATACAACATCTCAGTTTTAACCGAGAGAGCGTTTTCAGCCAATGGGACCGATATGGACTTGCGCGCGCTGTCACTGCAGGACAACAACATACAGGTGATCGAAAGTTGTGCGTTTTGTGGACTCCCACGTCTTGTTTCCTTAGATTTAAGTCACAACCGTTTAAGGGTTGTGTACCCTGGAGCTTTTTATGGCTTGGAACGGCTATGTCATCTTAACCTCAGCAACAACTTAATTACTTCGGGCGCGGGGCACTTACCTGACGCGCTGTCCACGGACAGTTTGTGTAATCTTCAGAGATTGGACCTGTCTGGAAATTGTTTGAAGGTAATTCCTCTTTCTGGGTTTGGCAACCTCAATTTAACCACTTTAATACTGACAAATAATTCCATTACGACATTAGATAAACACAATTTAACAAAACTAAACGAATTCGAGGAAATACATATTTACTTATCACAGAACCCGTTCGACTGTAAATGTGACAAAGTGAAGGAGTTTTATGATTGGCTGAAGAATAGCTCCCAATGCGCAGACGTAACTAGCCTGAAATGCGCGCAACCAGAAAAGAAGAAGAATACACTCTTAAAGGATCTAGAAAAGAGGGACATGGAGTGCCAAAACTTGGATGCCCGTTCTTATGTGCTTCTCGGCATTGTGTTGGCCCTCATTGGAGTTGTGTTCCTCATGGTGCTGTACTTGAACAGAAAAGGCATCAAGAGGTGGCTCAATAACATTAGAGAGGCCTGCCGGGATCAAATGGAGGTGTATCATTACAGATATGAACAGGACTCTGATCCCAGGTTAGCAAACGTTGCTGTTTAAGCGGAACCTGCTGACCTCATCTCCCTGAACTGTTTGATGAAATGCTGCGACAATGAAACTGGAGTCTGTAGCTTTTAAGTCCATGTATGTTAGCTTTAAGACAAGCATACTCTTAAAAGTTCACAAAATAAACTTTCAACAGATATACACTTTTTAAATTAACTTTAAGTTTTGGGAGAATGGATATGAAATTTCAGTAACTCATCTTGCATTCATGGGTGTGTCTCTTTTATTTATTTATTTTTGTCTAATAAAATATGTAATGGGAATGCATCTCCAACCTGTCTGGGACCAGCAATCAAGAGGGCTGGGTTTTGCTGGTTACAAAAGCCATTTAGAGGAATCTGAATGCTAATGGGTAGCTTTCTCCAGGTATTACAGATCTTATTGCAAGCAATAGAACGTAACAACTCATGTTTCAAAACTGTGATGTAAATGGAAGCCTATTGGCTATTTAAAAAAAAGATCCTTAGCTAGAAATTCGTATTTCAATAGGAAAATGCAGAGTAGTAAATAGATTACATTATTATACTTTGCCCATCGCCTATTATAAATCAACTAGCATAATCAATAAAGGTGCAAAATGCTTTTACTTACACATATTTGAGAATCGAGATATTTCATGATATAGTTAACACGTTTGGGAATATTTCAAATAAAAAGGAAAAAAGACAAAAATATAAGCCTATCCACCTGTTTCCGGGGGTCGCTACTGTAAAAAAAGAACATGGTATACCAATGGTATCTTGTGTGCTAATTAGCGAAGAGGATAAGTGTTTTTTTTTTTTCGAGTTTTTTTCCACTGTCGGGCCAGTGCGAGCCAGTGCTTTCAGTAGTAGGCCGGGTGGAGCTAATAGCCTCAGAACTGTAGCACCGAGCCCAAAATCACACTACGTTTCCACCGTCGGGCCAGAAGCTCCGCTTCACTAAAACCCGCCTTTATACGCCTCTCTGGAACAACGACACACAACCCCATAATTTCACCAACAAAGAGAAGTTATCAGAAATAAATCACTGGAACTAGCGAGATTGCAAAACGAACATGATAAAAGCGGCCATTTGTTTGCATGTTTTGTTGTTTTCTTAAAGGGGTCCTATTATGCCTTTTCACTTTAGTGCCCTATTTGAGTTCTAGCCCGTTCTGTTCTTCCTTGTCTGGAATTGTTGATGTCTATCCTTGCTACGTGTGTTTTTCTGTATCCCTGGACATTATTAAAGTCTATAAGTTTGAATTTGACTCTGCGTCTCCTCGTTCCTCGCTCCATGCTCCTCACAGTAGCGAACCGTGACAGAATACCAGACCAAAACAGTAAGCGACGCCCCTTCTCCCCGTGTTTGTTTTTTCGTTTTGAAAGTATTTTGTTTTCCTGTGTGTTTCTCCCCCGCAGCATGGAAGTAGCCGCTCGTTTTATCAACCTAGCCCACAGAGATCTCCCCTTCGTGGAGTATGCGTTGGAGTTCAGCAAAATCAGTGCAAAAACAGCACTGGACGACGCCACACTTAACTGAGCCGTGACAGAAATCCAGACCTAATGTAAACTACTCAGAAATTACACCAACAGCTCGATATCTATATTATTGAAAGAAAGAAAGCAATATGTTTCAGGATTGTTGTTGAAATTATGCTATTATGTGTATGGTTTGTTAGGATATAGGACAATATTTGGCTGAAATACAACTATTTGAAAATCTGGAATCTGGGGGTCATCAGAGGCATTTTCACATCACATGTGAAAATGCCTTAAACGCCTTTAAAGTTGTTTAAAAAAGTTCTTAGCAATATTTCTAATCCAAAATTAAGTTTTGAGATATTTACGGTAGGAAATTTACAAAATATCTTCATGGAACATGATCTTTACTTAATATCCTAATGATTTTTGGCACAAAAGAAAAATCGATAATTTTGACCCATACAATGTATTGTTGCCTATTGGTACAAATA